TGGAATGATGTAAAAACGAGCGTTCTTGCTCATTTTGCTTCCGAGAAACATGCAAAACGGGACGGAAAACATGAAATTTTGCAATAATATTGCGCTACCCTTGCACAAAACGACGATCATTTTTCTAAGTTCATAAACAACAGAAGACTGTATTTTTTCTACATAACCACCCCCCTGACTTTAAAGCTGGATCCGCCCCTGCCTAAGAGATCAAATTTATTTAAAACCGATCATATCAGAAATGATATCCTGCAGGTAGCCCCAGCTTGTTATTGAATTTAAAGTTTAAAAGCCTGGAATACTTACAAACTAGAATTATATGCAAGGGAAGTCGTCTGCCGAAGAATATTATTGGAGTTTGAGAATGCCAGAAATTGTCTACATCTGGAATAATGTAGCATAGAATTTCCACAAATATTCCATGCAAAGTTATTCCGAACCATAACCATGGAAGACGACCTCCTCTAACTATTGCTAAAAGGATTATTAAGAAAGAAATGTTTTAAAGTTTTTTCTGATAAAAAATTATCGTACCATGTATCAGGGTGAACAGCCCTCCAAGTACAACAACTGTCTGGGAAATAATATAAGTGGGTTCATATTTCCAATGCACTTTTGGATCAGTAATACAAACGAACCAATCTAAGAACTTTCAAAAATTGAATTAAATCACTAGATTATTTTTTTCTATTCACGCTTACCCCCTCAAATTTTAGCTCGGTGAGTTCCGTGCCGGGTGTAAGCAACTCGTTGCCCCCCATCCTGGTTATTGTAAATAGTCGATTTTTAATATCGGCATGAATATCTACCATTTTGGAAAATTCTTAATTTCTTATCTTATGTAAACTGAACTCAACGTTTTAAAAAATGTATTTTTCTGAAATAAATCGAACCTAAACTGCCTCTACAGCAGAACAAGCGACAAGTACTTTTGTGATTGGGTATCAAGCTTATCAAAAGTACATATTGTTTATGGGAGAAGTTATTTTCAACGTACATGAACAGGAAGTGTTTGTTTTATTTTGATAATATGTTGATAAGTACAAAGGATCGCATGTAATGAATCGGATAATTGAGTGGCAAATAGTAAAGTTAAGCATGTTTAAAATATATTTTTATTCTGAACGAATGGTTTAGAGTTTAGACAACAAAGATTTTTGCTCAAAAATTGCGAAATGCTGGATTTGTATATTATTGTTTTGTACCTACTACATATTTCTAGAATAAATAAATTAAAATATTCTCATACTCATACATTTATTACATTACCCAGCCCCCTAGTCCCCGTAATTTTAAAATTATATATGAGGATACAAATTGTATTAAATTCAAGTGGCAAGCGAGATTTACTGTTTTTCAAATCAAGACCAACAATGTATGCATGTTGTTGGATGCAATTTTCGTCCGAAATTTTAAATTTTGCGGGAAATGTTCAGTTCAAAAATTGTGGGAGTCAAAGCCTAGTTCCAAATATTGGTTGATGCAGGGTACCTACTTTATACTAAAATAGCAAACCCTTCCATTAGGTTTATAGTTCACCGTAGAGTTCTAATGTGCATTAAAACGACGTTAATTGGACTTAAACAAATGTAAAGTAGACTTTGAACCATAATTACTGCTATTTTCTCACAATTAACTTTTGCACGTGCATGGAACAAAATGAAAGATTTAATTGTGGTTTAAGTATATATTTTTAAAATAAATTATTACATTAAAAATCGATGAAAGGTTAATCAAAGCAATTAAAAAATGGCGCTGTTCACACAGCTGATTATAAATCGTACCTGATTTCCTGATTCTAAATATATCAACTGTAGTCGTACACGCAGAATGTTTCAATTTATTTAGTTTTAATTAATTTATTAAAATAATTCACCTCAATGTTCATTGATTTCACTTTCACAGTACAGAAATTTGGAATGTTTGGACTGATGTGAAGCAATAAGAAATAAAATTAATCTGAACAATGATCGCCGTCATAAGACTCACAGCTAAGGTTCTCCTTTTTATTAATGTTAACTGTAAAATTTCGGTCGCTTGTTGCATATGATGGGTTGCCCCCATAAAAGCGGCACGCAACGAGCAGCCACTTACCAATGTATTTTCGGAAAGTAAATAAATCGGAAGAATTGCGATCCTTCGGCAAAACATTGATGGGCAGTCTAGTCTAGAAACAAATTGGAACCGGTTGTACTGTGCTTGAAAAACCTGATACGAAAGGAAATTTACTTAATAGTATTTCTGGGAATCAACCTCAAAATGTTTAGCTAAAATCCAACTAAGCTGTGTTCAACCAAAAAAGATCTAGAATATAATTACTATATAGTAATTAAAAGTTCGTGGGAGATACACGTTTCCTACTCTTCCTAGGGGAATCCGTCAAAACGCAGCATTTTCATGGCTCTAATTCTCAGTTATATTTCATTGAAGAATGTCCTTTATATAAACGAGTAATACACAATTTTATTACTTTTCAAACTTTTAGCGTTAGCATAATATTGAAGTTTTTGGTGATTCAAATTACATCAGCCGCATTTTTAAATTATGCCACTTAATTGCTACAATAAGTAAAACTATAAGGATGAGTAGAAAGTATGTCTATTTTCTAAATTATCAAGTTAATACAAATTAAAAAATCAGACCTAGAAAAACAAATCATTTATTAAATTTCTGTCCTTTGCGAACCTAAAAATGCGGATGTGTGGATGAAACACAAGGAAATTAAAAAATACCTTAGGACTAATTTACATAGAACTAATTAAACTCGAGTGGTCGAGACAATTTCATCATAAAAATAATGTACGTAATAAGAACTTAATGTCTTACACAATAACCTCCGGTTTGCTGTTGGTAGACTTCAATGGTGTCCCCTTCCTCCATGTCCAGAGTTGTGGGCGTGTCCGTTTCGTTAATGGGGTTTCCATCAAAGCGAAACCGAACTACTTGGGTGCTGATTCCCTAAATAACAATTTTAATCCTCAAATAGATCAGCAGCATGCCAAATACTCAAATACACAAACAAAACAATAGTAATTTCAATTACAAAAATAATTAAGTAAAACTTAGCTGTAGTTAACTTCTCTAGTTTATGTTAGTGTTGCGTAACTGTTTTTTTCTGTTAAAAATGATTAATTTACGTCCGTGCAGCAATGATGGCGACTTTTGGAAAATTAATTAATTTCAGTGAAGCTCAAGAACATTTCCGCAATCCACAAGTAAGAATTGTTTTGGTAAGAGGATTTTCTATACGGTGAGCATATTGTTAACCTCGAACTCGAGGTGCATGATCACCATCATATCCTGTAAGCACATGATCAAAAGGGCATTGCGACATTCTTTGGTTTAAAAGAAGGCAATTTGATCGGATTGACTAATCCTTTTTTGGCATTTTGGTGCTCTTGTAGCATTCAGTTTTTGCCCAAAACATATGGGAAACATGCTACCACACAAACATCCTTCTACTTAACCATTATAATGCGATAATGTTCTTGCATAATAAATTAATTTTCAAGCGTTTTCTAATAATGAAATGACCAACATGATCAAAGTTTTAGGCCGATTGTGCTTTGGAAGCGTTTTTCGCCGAATTGTTTGCTCCTCAGAAATGAGACAAAAAGAAACGAGCTTTCGAGCTGAGCTCGGCAGCTTCATTAAAATATGACGTAGGAACAAATCCCCAGAAAGTTTGATTAAAATTCATCCGAACGCTCCCAATATTACAAAAAAGTGTTTTAAGTCTTGTCAAAAAATATTAATTAGCAAGAAAACAGCAACAACTTTTTTGCGCAAAAACTATGAATGATGCAAGACTCTATTGAGAAAGGGTACAAAAATGTCCAGACGCCCCTGGTGGTTAAAATTATAACTACAAGTTAAGTAGTCATTTCACACTTGTTTTATTGAGATTGGTGTCACATTGGTGTTTACATCTGATTGTGATTTCTTATGTTCTAATCAACTTTTGCAAACTTTTAACGAAATAGAAACAGATCGAAAAGAATGTAAGTATTGCTCTATGTTATAAATGTCATCAACTCCAATAAATAAACAAGTCTGACAAGTCTCAACTGTCACTCGACAACGAGTAATTTGATTGTCGTTTTTGTGTCAAGACACTCAAGAATTGACAACACAACGCGGCTCTCGACTTCATAAAAGAGTCCTATATTGCATATTTTCAAAAAAAATTCGTAACGGCATTTTCTTTCGAAAATGCATGTTTAACCTCCTGTCAAGGATCGAAAGTTCGCTTTCTCCACCATTTTGGTCTAAACAGTGCATCCAAATTATGTCAACGATAACCAAAATTACTCAAACTAAACAAAAAATTGCCCAAATACCTATTCACAAAATGCGTCTAATAAAAACATGTATTAAAATGAGAAAAATTTGATTTCGGTTCGGCAGTGTCCTCTGTTGAGCATTATTTAGGCAGTGCAAAAGTCAAGATGCTTCCTTAAGGGCGAATCGTGAACTTTCAAGCCTGAAAAAGTGATAGAAAAACGCATTTCCGAAAGGAACGCTGCTAGGAAATAGTGTTAGTCAAGGTATAATCTATAAGGTAATTAAAATTTTATTATCGAAATCCAGAAGGGAAATTTGGCATTTATTTCTAATATAATCCAATGTTACCGAATCAACAGTGAACGGTACAAATAATGCATTTTTCCAACCATTACCGTTGTTGATACCGAAAGCGAGATAAAAAGCGTTCACTTACAGCTCTCTCACAATATGCAGTCATGAGTTTCCTAAGAGCAGTATGTCTTTTGATTTTGAATTGTACAACGGCATTATCCTGCCCTAGTACTTTCACGTTGATACCTTCGGCTTCGGTTCCCTAAAACAAGGGAAAACAATGCGCTTAGCATGGAGATGGTTTATCGTCTGCTAGCAGGGCGGTTACAAGCGAACATCATGCATCCTTACCTTTTTTTCATCACCCATGATTCACAAATTTGGTTGAAGGGTTAGAACAGTTACAAACAACACCAGAGCTTGAGTTGAGCAAGATTTGTCAAGCAAACAGCTACACCAATGTTAATGGCCGGCACATGAAGGCATAACGCGGCAACGCGCAAAAGTCAAATTTGTCAAATGTCACTTGTCAATCTGTTTTACAGTTTGCAAGAAACAACGCTGTTTCAGTTCTAACACTCTAGATGGCCGCAGCATAGAAATTAGATATTTCATCTTATAGTTGCTTTAAAAGTACTATAATAATATATACTTTGATGTAATGTTTATATTCCGACGATGGATTGCCGCAAACCGTTTTATGCGCTGTTATTTTGACACTGAACGTTTTTGTACGCATCGTTTAGAGCTGCCCTCTTCTGGAGCAACATACACAAGTTGTTATATGTGAATTGTTCACTTTACAGGTTTTATATTCTGTACTGTTTTTCGTGAAATGCGGACCCTGTAACCAAGGGCCCGGACCGAATCGAAATAACTGTCCAGGTTTCGGTCCAAGGCCACATTTTAAATTTAGGTTCCGGTTTAGAAAATATTTTCCAGTTCGGGAAATTTTTTTTCGGGAAACTTCGGTTCCAAAGTCTATATAATACAAAGAACCAGAACACAGATGAATCATTTTCCTTGCTTGTTGTATTAAATTCTTCAAGATAAAAGATGTCCAAACGATCCACTGCTTCATATTCAAGGGGGGATCCAGGGGGGAGGTCATGGGGGTCATGACCCCCCCATTCAAATCTCTATCCAACGATGCCAAAATTCTGTGGCACAAATGGGGCCTGGGAAACTGCCAAAAAAGCAACGTCGTGTTTCAGTCAATTTTGCAACTCAAAAAAAACCACGCAAATCTAAAACTTCTTGAATTCAAGCATTTTTTGAGAAAACTGCCAACATTTCCCCATCCATGGTTCA